GCACATGATCAGAGGTCAGGAAAACAGACCTTACAACGACAGGCTGAGAGCCATGGGGCTCCTTAGCGTGGAAAAGCGCAGGCTCAGGGGTGATCTGGTGGCCACCTACAAGTTTATCAGGGGTGACCACCAGGATCTGGGGGCATGTTTGTTCACCAGAGTGCCCCAAGGGACGACGAGGTCAAATGGTCATAAACTACTGCGAGACCGTTTCAGGCTGGACATAAGGAAGAATTTCTTTACTGTCCGAGCCCCCAAGGTCTGGAACAGCCTGCCATCGGAGGTGGTTCAAGCACCTACATTGAACGCCTTCAAGAGCAAATTGGATGCTTATCTTGCTGGGATCCTGTGACTCCAGCTGACTTCCTGCCCCTGGGGTGGGGGGCTGGATTTGATGATCCTCCAAGGTCCCTTCCAGCCCTAAAGTCTATGAAATCTATGAAACATTTCCAGCCGTGCTCACAAACACAGAAGCATGCAGAGTCCCGGGGTTGGGAACCTGGGAGCCCATCCGGTGATCCCTATGATCTGGCTGGACTGCAGCCCCACACACCCACCCTTCCTTACACCAATAGATAAATAATCCCCTGGCAGATCCAGCACAGAGTCCCAGATGAATGCATCAAGGGGGTTATTTCTGTGCCCATGCACTCAACAGGAAGAGTAAGGGGAAGACAGGCTGGCCCTTGGATTTTATTTATTCCCTCCACAGACAAACTCCTGTTATTTATTGCAGTGGGATGAATTTCTCTATTGGTTGCACTGTCCCTGGAGACAACGAAGCTCTTCATCTTGTGCTCTCTCTATCCAGCCAGCCCTGACAAATGAGATCTACTTCTAGCCCATCCCTGGTGTTAGGACTCTATTAAAAATGATTTCCCTTTGCACCCATCATAGATATTTGAACTCGGAAGCCCACCACCCCTCGGCTTCCTCCAGCCTACCTGTAAGTCCTGCCTCTGCCGGACAAGAGACAAATGCTCAGGCCTGAGTCAGCAGCATTAGGTGGGAGCAGGATGAAGTGACGCAGAGAACAAGCACCGAAGCTGGGGAGAAGCGAGACCGACACTTTTCTAATTAAAAAATTTGTTTCCAAGAGTAGTGACAGCTGGCTTCGGGGGGGCAGAAGGAACAACAAATCAGCCTGTTGCAGGCATATACCTCATTTTGAAACAGCCATGCTTGGGCCTCCACTTCCCCTTCCTCAAGCTCTTCGGCACGCCTACACGTTCAATTAATGCACTTATGTAATGTGCATTAAATCTAGTACCTCCATTGTAAGGTGCTGGAAGAATGTGCATTAACCTATTTTAATATGCATTAGCTAAAGAGCACTTTTTTGTGACGCTGTAATGAGCATTAAAATCGGCTAATGCACATTAAAGCGCATGTGTAGATGTGCCCTTAGATTGCAGCCGTTGCTGCAGTGTCTGAACACCTCCCAGAAGAGCAGTAGGTATAACCTAGGCACTGGTCAGCAGTAGCAAGAGCTAGGGGTAAATTTAGACGCTGTACACACAGTTTTCCTCTTGGCATGAGCCTCCACCCAGAAAGTACAGAGAATACATTTCCCCCAGGCCTTCCAAACTGAACACACTTCCCCGCTCACAAGTAAGTGTGAACTATAACAGGGAAGAGGGAGAAAGGAGTCAGGCACATACCTTATGGCAGGGGCAGGCAATTATTTTGAGCGAAGGGCTGCTTACCGAGTGTTGGCAAACAGTTGAGGGCCGCATTTCCCTTTCTGGCAGGGGTTTCTGGTTGTGGGGCAAAAGCTGGGCAGACCTTGCTACTGGGTCCTGCCACTAGCTTCCTCTGAGTCCTACTGCCCCTGGCTCCTGTCATCTTTGACAGGCAGCCAGGAGCAAATAAACATTCATTTTCTAAGGGCCCCGTGGGCCCGGTAGAATGGCCTAGTGGGCTGGATCCAGCCCCCAGGCCATATTTTGCTCACCCCTGCCTTAGGGGAAACCTCAGTAGTTAATTAGTAACCCAATTAGCTATTAACGGTTTATCATGGGCAATGCTACAACTTCTCCTCCCTGTTCCACGTGGGGTAGACTTGGTAGCTAGTGTGGCCGCTAGTCCCGATCTTTCCCCTGCTCACAACCTAGCTAACCTCTATTGCCTTTGGCCTTTTCCTCCTCTCCCCAGGCAGAGACTCACATCTGCATGCTAGCAAGGGCCCGGGCAAAGACAAGTCCCTGGGGGAGACGCTGGTGAGGTTTGCAAGGATGCTTGGAGTCTGTGCCGTAATGAAAGTCCTGTCAAATGAACTTCACCTTCGTGGAGCCCGACTCCTCCATCCCTACTTGAGGTCTCTACCCCGTGCTGTACCGGCTAGATCAGGGGCGCTCAAGCCCTGGCTCACAGGATATGGGGCTCTGTGGGGATGGTCTAGGCTAGATGATGATGACAATGGTCTCTTGGACATCATGAAAACACTACGTCTTTGCCTTCAAAACCCTTTGGTTCAGTTCATAGCTGTCACCTACTGGGCTGCAAATTCCCAGCATGGTCCTCTTGCCTCTGCATGTGTTTAGGTGATCTTCTAGGGATCCCAGCCCCAAGATACTGAGGGTTTGTCTACACCACAGCGGGGGATGAACCCAGGAACGATGGCACCAAGCATGGACCTGCCTAGCCAGGCCTGTGAGTTTGCCAAGAGGGCTGCTCTGCTTTCAGACCAGCAGATACCAAGGGCTTGGGAGCGACGAGCCTGGTGCAGCCTTGCTGATGACCTTCTGGGTTGAAGCATCCCCAGGGACAGGCACGGTCCATCCCTGCTTCCTCAGACATCTTCCCCCACAACGTTTGCCCCCCGCTCGGCCTGGAGGCACCTGTATCTACAACCTTGGGACATGGCAAATGGCATGCCAGCCTCTCCCAGGACGAGGAGGTGGCCACTGCTTCCCTTCACCCCCAACATCTCTGCGGTTTGGGCACTTGCCTAGGCAATAAGGACTCCCTCGGCCTAACGTGGGGGAGAGTCAGGCTCGAGTCTCACTGAACTGAGTATTAATTCATGCAAAGCAAGAGGAGCTGCAAAAAGAGGGAGAAGCCCCCCCCCGGCCAGGGGTCAGAGCCCTCTCCTAAAGGGTGTGGCACAAAGGGGGCGCTCCCTGGGAGCCCCAAAGCTGCTGTGGGACATAGACTCATCCTCCAGGTCCCGAGGGAGGCTGCCTGGTGTGGATATGCAACATGCACTGAGCGCTTCCAAGGGACTTGTCTTGGAGGAAAGCGAAGCCCGAACCCACCCTGCTTACTTGCTCGGAGGTTGCTGCAGCGGCCGACAGGGCTCAGCTAACACCCCCTCCTCCTGTTGATCCCTTGCCCTCAGCTTTGCATGCAGGTGCACCTCTCACGACAGGCCCAGTGGCAACGTGGGACAGCCCGATTTTGGAAGATAAATCAGGAGTAACTCAGGATGCTGGGTTTTGAGCATCAAATCAAATCAATGACTTTTTTTTTTTTTTTTGCAAAAATCTAGTTGGTCTAATAAAAGATATCACCTCTATCACAAGTCCTGACTGCTTTCAAATAAAATCAATGGCTTTCTGCCTTGAATGAGCAGCGGGGACTCTCTCTCCTCCATATGGGTGAATTACTTGCTTTGCCTGAGCTGCATGCGGAGTCAGCTGCACCCACCAGGGACCGCGCGGAGCTGCTCCGTCGAGAAAAGCCCGAGTTGTAAACCTCTCCATAAATCCTCGGGGACGACCTTTGCACACCTGCTCCTGCAGACCGGGGCTAAGCCAAACCGAGTACTCACGGCAGTCTCGGGGGAGGGAGGCAAGAGCATCGCTCTGCATCGCGCCTCTCGGCGTTCAGACAGGCCCGGTGCCTCTTTAAAGGGGTCCTGGGACAGGCTGTTTCCACCTGGTGTCACTCATGCAGCATGGAAAGGTCACTGCTCTTGGCTCTGTGCACCATCTTCTTATCTAGGCAACGAGCTCAGGCCCTTTGCTGTCTCACAAGCGAGACTGTAACTCTCAGGATACAACCACCTCTGACGGTCACGATTCCCATATGCAGAGGGGCTGTGCAAGGGCCCAAGGGGTCATGGCCAAACGGCCTATCCAGCATGGCTCGCTGCCTAGAGGTCTGCTAACTTCATGCCTCTTCTGTGCCACAGACTCTCCTTATCACCTTGGGCAAATCACCTATACTATGTCCTCCAAGGTCTTTCCGTGCCTGGCCCCCCCTGCCACCAACAGGGAATTAAGCACCTCAGTCCTATTTATGAATACGGGCCTGAGTAGCCTGCTGCCTCGGTTTCCCCATGCTGCTACCATTTGTGTTTCTTCCCGCTGTGCTGCAAGCACCAGCTTCTGGAGTCACGTTATCGCAGGGGCCTCTCCTCTTTCTTTGAGGGCTCGTAGCCTTTATGCTTGCAGAGAAAAACACTTGGACGTGTGAAGTGAAGGCAATGTAAAGGGTTGGGATACAGAAGGGTGGGAGAAGCTTGGGGAGTTTTCATAGTTTTCATAGACATTAGGGCTGGAAGGGACCCCGGAGGATCATCGAGTCCAGTCCCCCACCACAGGAGCAGGAAGTCAGCACGGATCATAGGATCCCAGCAAGATAAGCATCCAAATGTGTCTTGAAAGCTAGAGACCAGGCTGGGAGAAGAAATTTCTCTCCACAGCTTGTGATGGGAAAAGCCACCCTACTTCCTGGCAGCTCAGCAAGGTGGCTAGGCAAACAGGTTTGGGGAGGGGCAGCACGGTGGGGAAGAAAGCGGGATCTCCTTCCCCCGTCTCTCTCGTGCCCCGAGCAAGGCAGCAGGGTGGAGGGAGAGTCACTTGGTGGCCATCCCCGGGGCCGCAGGCCAGCTGGAGGTGGTGTGGAGTAGTTTGGCCAGGAAGCAAGTGCTGCCAGCCTCCCCACCTTGCTGTGTGGCCTGCAATAAGTTGCTTCTGTCGCTTAAAGCAGATGCTGCTGTCTTAATTACAGCCCGGATGCTCATCATCAGAGTGGCTTGAACGCCGAGTCAAAAATGACTCCGCTTGTTGCTGGAGAGAAGTTATCCTCCCAGCTGACTGCAAATGCACCACCGCCTTGATTTCCCAAGGGTCGGTAGCGGTCCTGCCACGCCATGGCAATGGCCGTCTGGGGCCTGTATGAGCAGGAGGCAGCTCCACAAAGCCGGGCTCAGGCCGGGGCGAGCACAAAGGCTGCACGATAGGAAGCTGAGCGGAGCAAATCCCAGATCCCGCCTGCAAGCAGCCGTGAAGAGACACAGGGCCACTCCAGGTGTGGGGTTGGCTGGACCAGGCATCTTGGAGGTGAAATGACCTGTCGTCCCAGTGAACTGGGGGCGGGAAGCAAATCCAGTTATCGTCGTACTTGCACTAATGGAATAGATAGTCTCCGATTAGCTCGCCAAGGAGTTTGGAGATACATTTGAGTACAGCGCCATACTCAGTCTCCCTGCCCTGCCTAAAAATTTGCCAGGCCAACCAGCAAACAGTACCTAGTAGGTGGGGAAACTGAGGCCCGTGAACACAGCCAGTGCTGCTGTGCACAGCTGTGTGTCTTCAGGTTGACAAGGAGTGGAGCAATGGTTTTTGACCTGTGATCCACAGGCCCCCAGGGCCCACAGACGATGTCTAAGGGGTCCACAAAAGATGACTACCATCAATTAAATGTACGTGCATACCCACGCTTCCCATTCAAAGGGCTCTGCACCTCCATTGAATACCCACACTTCCCATTCAAAAGGGTCCGCACCTCCGTTTGCAATTTTGTAGGGGTCTGCACATGAGAAAAGGTTGAAAACCACTGCTGTAGAGCATTGCCCGAAGCACACGACTGGCTCAGTATTGCTGCTCGGCATCGCGGCGGAGAATGAGGACCATCGTACCAAGGATGTCCAAAGCGACGAGCCCTGCTATTAACCGGTGACAAAAGCTGCGTGCAGCACAGCGCACCACACCGCAGGGGTCAGGCCATCCTCCCGGACTCGGAGCCTTCAGCTGAGAGATGATTTTATTAAAGGCAAATAAGGAGGAGAAGCACAGCCGGTTGCTCGGGCGGCACTCAAACCGGGCACTTTCTATCGGTCAATCTGCTTCAGACACCCTGCACAATGTTGCAGCTGCTGTCGGCGAGTGAGCGGGAAGAACTGGAAATCCTTGCACAGTCACGGGGCTGTGATGGGACTGGAAGAACAGAGAGGTGGTGGGAGCTCGCAGGACTGGGACTGGGACTGGCTTAGCGGGGAACTAAGCTGAAGTTGCTAAACTGCAAAAAGGAAGCTTACAGGAAGTGGAAACTTGGACAAACGACTAGGGAGCAGTATAAGAGATTGCTCAGGCATGCAGGGATGAAGCCAGGAAAGCCAAAATGCAACCGGAGTTGCAGCGAGGAGAGGATGTGAAGGGTAATGAGAAGGGTTTCTGCAAGTATGTCAGTAGCAAGAGGAGGATCAGGGAAAGTGGGGGTCCCTTTTGGGCTGGGGGAGACAACCTTGTGACAGGGGGTGCAGAAAAGGCTGATGTGCTCAATGCCTTTTTTTGCCTCTGTCTTCACGGGCAAGGTCAGCTCCCAGACTGCTGCACCGGGCAGCACAGTGTGGGGAGGAGGGGAGCAGCCAACTGGTGAACGAACAGGTTAGGGACTATTTAGAAAAGCTGGATGTGTGCAAGCCCATGGGGTCAGATGCGATGGGACCGAGGATGCCGAAGGAGCTGGCTGATGCGACTGCAAAGATGCTGGCCACCATCTCTGAAAACTCATGGCAGCTGGGGAGAGGTCCCAGACAACTGGAAAAGGGCAAATATGATACACATCTTTAAGAAAGGGAAGAAGGAGGATCCAGGGGACTACAGATTAGTCACCCACACTTCAGTCCCTGGAAAAAGCATGGAAGAGATCCTCAAGGAATCCATTTCTAATCACTTGGGGGAGAAGAAGGCGATTAGGAGCAGTCGGCATGGATTCACCAAGGGCAAGTCATACCTGACCAGCCTGATTGCCTTCTCCAAGGAGATGACTGGCTCTGTGGATGTGGGGAGACCAGTGCATGTGTGGTGTACCTTGACTCGAGCACGGCTTTTGAGACGGTCTCCCACAGCATTCTCGTAGGCAAGCTAAGGAAGTACGGGCTGGATGAATGGACAGTAAGGTGGATAGAAAAGCTGGGGGAGTAGTAGATACATTTGGGGGCAGGGCTAGGGTTCAGAGTGACCTGGGCAAATTGGAGGATTGGGTCAAAAGAAATCTCATGAAGTTCAATAAGGACAAGTGCAAAGTCCTGCACCTAGGACAGATGGGACCAAATGGTTAAGCAGCAGCTCTGCAGAAAAGGAGCTGGGGGTTACAGTGGACGATATGGTGAACAGGAGTCAGCAGCGTGCCCTTGTTGCCAAGAAGGCTACCGGCATCCTGGGCTGCATTAGCAGGAGCATCGCCAGCACATCGAGGGAAGTGATTCCTGCCCTCTATTCAGCAGTGGTGAGGCCACATCTGGAGTCCTGTGTCCAGTTTTGGGCGCCCCACTACAGAAACGATGTGGATAAGTTAGAGAGAGTCCAGCAGAGGGCAACAAAAATGGTTCAGGGGCTGGGAGACATGACTCGTGAACTGGGCTGATTTAGTCTGGAGAAGTGGAGACCGAGGGGGATTGAATAGCAGCCTTCAGCTCCCTGCAGGGGGGTTGCAAAGAGGATGGAGCTGGGCTGTTCTCAGCGGTGGCAGATGACAGAGCAAGGAGCAATG